CCGCCACCCCCCACTGCCAAAGTAACCCGTACGTCCCCACTCCCACCGAGGGCTCTCCTCGACACCGAGGACCGAGCGTCTGAACTCGGGGAGGAGCCTCTCCCCCAGGCCTGGCCCGGCGTCTCCGAGGCGGGGAACGGGAATGAGCGGGGGGGCGGGGCTAAAAACGGAGGTGGTTGGCGGTTGCTAGGAAACAGCGTCTCCGGAAGGAAGTGACTTCCCTACTGCCAGGTCTCTTGGGTACCAGACACCTCCTAAGGGCCCCACGCGTCGCTGGGGCAACCGTCCAGACGGAGGAAATGACGTCAGCCCTCTGGGTCCCGGGAGAGGGATGCGCCTAGGCCGCCTGGGCTTCCGTTGTTGCCTAGGAGACAGGACCCGTCCCGCTCCCAGTCGGGCGCCTAGAGCCTTGAGCCAGTGGAATGAGGGCCTCCATCCGCACCTGCTGCGTGAGCCAAAGCGTATTCTTCGTTTTGCCACAAATAGGACATGAAGCCTGTGACTCGGCTGACAGAATAGTGTACGGACGAATGGGACAGAATAGCACGACGGTGACGTTTGCAGACTCCGGAGTCTCACTGCAGGTTTGAATCTTGGCGCCCCTTCCCTATGCCCCTGTGAAGTCATAAAGTTAACATGTCTATGCCCCAATTTCCTTGTCTGAAAAGAAAAAAGGGGGAGATAATAAGATTGGCCACCTTAACGCTTTGCTGGGTGTATAAATGAAATAATACAGGGGGAATACTTGCAAGAGTGCCTGGGATTGAATTCAGTCAATATCAGATACACTCTTTATGCAACTCAGCCACAAAGCACCCAGTGATGGCGAACCTTTTGAGCTCAGCGTGTCAACATTTTGAAAAACCCTAACTTAACTCTGGTGCCGTGTCACATATAGAATTTTTTTGATATTTGCAACCATAGTAAAACAAAGACTTATATTTTGGTATTTATATATTTAAATGCCATTTACCAAAGAAAAATCAACCAAAAAAATGAGTTCACGTGTCACCTCTGACACACGTGTCATAGGTTTGCCATCACTGGTCCTAGACAGAAGTCATCCCTTGTTCACACTGCTGAAAACTCATTCCAAGTGTGGTTAGTTTTTGTTTGTGGGATCAGGAGAAGACTCATAGAAGGGAAATATCAGTATCTTGAAAGACAACTATGACCAACTACACTGTTTAAATGTGTTCATCAGCATCTTATGAGTGATGGAAACTGGCTATTGTTAGTCAAATATACCAGTATGTATTCTTTTATATTGTCATGTAGAGACACATGAATTACTATATAGCAAGAGAAATATGATTTCTCATTCAAACTCAGAACTTGTCATTCTAAACAAATTATTTTTGTTACCAGGGTAGTGTCTTTAGTTAAATGCTCTCTACAGATATTGTTCTAGACAAAGATGCATGATCTGAACGGATACTATCTCTACTCCCTGTATATTGCTGTCTTGTGCCTAGTATAATTCTGCATACTTTACTCATATCATTTAATTCAGTCTTTCCTAAACTCTGTAAAATTTCTGCTTTTTATATCTACACTCGTGACCCAGTGCATGGATTCGTGCACATTGAAAGGAAATTAATTAGAAGGTGGCCAGTGGGGCGGGAATGGGGGGGACGAGCCCGACATGCCCTGGAGCCAACCTCCCGTGGCCCCTCCCCAGCCTGCACACCTGGGGTGGCGCCGCGGCTCGAAAGGCGTCTGTGGAGTGAGTGGGGTCCCTATGGCAGATGGAGTCCCTCGGCCTGGCCTGCTGGGATCGGGCTGAAACCAGCTCTCTGACATCCCCTGAGGAGTCCTGGAGTGTGAGAGGGCACTCTGCAAAGTTGCTGTTGTACAGAGTGTAGAATGCAAACACAAATGTGCAGTAAACCAGATTCAAGGCCAACAGTGCCCCAGCAACAACTTAACCCACAAAGGTGGAATCGCACGGCCCCATGAGGAATTGGGGTTCCTCCTCTCTGCTTTCAGGGTGGGTCACCCGAGAACCTCCACTGCCAAGTCACTGCAGCTTGGCAGCTCCAGCATTGAGCGTCTTCCCCCTGGTGGTCAGTGCTCGTCATAGCGACCATTGGGATGGTCAGAGGGACACTTAGCATATTAGCCTTTTATGTATATAGATTTTACATTTTAAAAAAAGGAGATATGATAACATCTTGAGATGCAGGTAAGTTTGAAAATATATTATGTTCACCTGTGAAATGTCCCAGACAAGACTCATTTGTTACATAGACTCTTATATTATTGTGGTTTTAAGAAATCTTTGTTTTTAATCATGTTTTGTATATACAAAAACCACATTGTTCTTACTTAAGGAGTTGATCTTGTATTTTATTTCTTCCCTGATTAGTAGCACACGCTGCAAAAGGTATTTTTATGTGTCATTTATCCCATGTTAATCTCCCCCTTTCATTCATCTGTTTAAGATTGCTTGGCCCCTTCCTGCTTTGTGCTCCTTCCTTTTAAGACAAATCTGGTTTCGAGATAGAAAAGAAAAATCACTAATTTACATGTTTTGGCACAAAAACTTTATGAGTTTTTGTGGAATTAAGATCTAGTATTGAAGAAAGCCCAGGCATCACTTAGTAGGAAATTTCCTTGTAAAAGGTCATTTATTTCAGGATTTTCAAGGGAAGAAGGGCCAGAATCCAATGGTAGTTGACGAGAATAAAACAAAATTTCAACACTAGTCACAAAAACTAATTTTTATTTTGCGTTGCACTCATGTTTGAATTCCATCATTATCATCATCATCATCATTATTATTATTATCATTATCATCATCCTTTGGAAAGTCTTTTTTTCCCAGAGGGAAGGAAATCTCGCAACATGCATTAGTAACCACATTCCAGCAGATGGCAGCAAAAGATTTAGCACCTTTGGGACTATATGGCGGGAACATACTCATTAATATTTTTGGGATATTTTACTTTGCTTAGACTCAGTGGTTCTCAACCTTCCTAATGCCGCGACCCTTTAATACAGTTCCTCATGTTGTGGTGACCCCCAACCATAAAGTTATTTGCGTTGCTATTTCATAACTGTAATTTTGCTACTGTTATGAATCGTAATGTAAATATCTGATATGCAGGATGTATTTAGGCGACCCCTGTGAAAGGGTCGTTCGACCCCCCAAAGGGGTCGCGACCCACAGGTTGAAAACCGCTGGCTTACAGTGATTTAACAATACATTTTAAAATAAACTACTTTAGAAACAATTTCATAGAACTTTTAAAATCATCAGCTTTATCTTTATATTATAAAGTTAGAAAATTAGTAGTTTAATGTATCAATAAATATTTTTTATAAATATTTTTGAAAGACTGTATAAGCTGCTTACCTGCGAGTCCATTCCCTACTCCCAAACTCAGCCATGATCATTGTTAATAGTTAGGATTCTTTTCCATATTATCTTTCCTGAGCATATAAAAATGTTCACGTTACATGTGTTCTTCTATAACCAGTTTTTTTTTCACTTGAATATTATTTTCATGTTAACCAACAGCTGAATTATGCATAATTCTTTGGTTATATGATTATGTATATTTAAAAAAAACAATACTCATGTCCCTTTAACTTGTTTCAATTTTTATGAGAAGGTTTGAATAAACATTGTGGCATACTTATTTATTTTGGATAAAATCCTAGGGGTGGAATCATTGAGTATATACACATGAACTCTCTTTATACTTATTGTCAAAATGCCTTCCAGAAAAGTTTTTACAGCACACACTCCAATGTACATCATA